TTGAAGCATGAAACCAAGGCTAATGAAAACAACGAAATGATTTTGAATCTTAAGGCTGAGATAGAGTCGTTGAAACAACAACTCGAGAATGCAAAGATCTACAAGGAGAAGTTGGTGGAAAAGGAGGCTCTCATTAAACAACTTAACGTTGAGTTAGAAGCTGTGAAAAAGGCCGAATCGTACGCACACAGTGTATTAGAGGAATGCAAAAGTAGAGTTGAAGAATTAGAAATGCAGATTGAGGAAGCAAAGAAGTTGGAACGATCAGCGTCAGAATCTCTGGAATCGGTTATGAAGCAATTAGAGAACAACAATGATTCATTGCATGATGCTGAATCTGAAATTGCAGCTCTTAAAGAGAAGGTCGGACTATTGGAAATGACGGTCAGTAGACAAAGAGGGGATCTTGAGGAATCGGAAAGTCGCATTATTAAGGCAAAGGAAGAAACTGCAGAAGCAGAGAAATTGGTCAAGTCTCTGAAGTCCGAGTTAGAAACAATGAAGGAAGAAAAGATTCAAGCTTTAGATAATGAGAAGCTTGCGGCTTCCAGTGTCCAAGCACTTTTAGAAGAGAAAAACAAACTCATTACTGATCTGGAAAATTCTCGGGATGAGGAAGAGAAGAGCAAAAAAGCAATGGAAAGCTTAGCTTCGGCGTTACATGAAGTTTCTGCAGAAGCTAGGGAGGCTAAGGAGAAGCTGTTATCGATTGAATCTGAGCATGGACATTATGAAACACAGTTAGAGGATCTAAGATTGGTCCTAAAAGCGAAAAATGAGAAGTACGAAACCATGCTTGATGATGCAAAGAATGAGATTGATCTTCTTACAAATACCATTGAACAGTCTAAGAATGAATACCAGAATTCAAAAACTGAGTGGGAACAAAAAGAACTGCATTTGGTAGATTGTGTAAAAAAATCAGAAGAAGAAAATTCGTCTCTTGAAAAAGAAATCAATAGGCTGGTAAATTTGCTGAAACAATCCAAGGAAAAAGCTTCGGCATCGAAGGAGGAAGAAGCTCTGTTGAAGGAGAGCCTAAAGGAAGTCGAATCCGAGTTGATTTATTTGCAAGAAGCTCTAAAGGAGGTCAAAACCGAGAGCATGGAATTTAAGGAGAGTTTGTTGGACAAAGAAACGGAACTGCAGAGTGTCGTTCAAGAAAATGAGGAACTCCGAGCTAGGGAAGCTGCTTCTCTTAAGAAAATCGAGGAATTGTCAAAGTTGTTAGAAGAAGCTACAATCCAAAAGCAAAATGAGGAAAATGGTGAGTTATCTGACAGCGAGAAGGACTATGATTTGCTGCCCAAGGTGGTTGAATTCTTGGAAGTGAACGGACATGGAATTGAAGAGAAACTCAAGTTAGAGCTTCCGGCAGAACAGCCTGACGAGCCGGAAAAAGAATCTCTGGAACTAAATGACGGCTCAAAAGATGAGGCCCTTCATGTGGATGGTGCCAAAGTGGAGAGCGTGAACGGAGAAGTGAACGAGGATGAGACAAAAGGCAAAGAGGACGATTCGGTTGAAGTTGAATTGAAAATGTGGGAGAGCTGCAAAATTGAAACGAAAGAATTTTCTCCAGGAAGAGAACCCGAGCAAGAATCCTTTGACGAGGAAGTGGAGTCAAAGGTGGAGAGCACCGAAGCCGAAAGATTTGATCAAATAAATGGTTCTACGGAAAATGCCCACGATGGTGGAATCTCACCATCAAAGCAACAGCAACGACAGAAAAAGAAGAAGCCTTTACTCCGAAAATTCGAGAGCCTGCTGAAGAAGAAGGGAAGTAACAACCCCAAGTAGATAACAAAACCCGAAATCTACCATGGCACGACGTCTTTAGCCCTACTGGCAAGCAGGTACAGGGGATAATATATTGCCAGCTGAATGTGTTTTGCTTCATTTGTTTTGTGTGTTCTGGAATATAACTTGAAATTGAAGAGGCTTGTATTCATGTTTAATTTCTTAATTTTTATTTTCTTTAAAAAAAAGTTAAATTTGATTCTCCATATTGGATAGCATGATGAAGATAACTCTTTTCTTCTTTTTTTGGTGGTGGTGGTGGTGGTTCTTCATTTATAAAATTCATGAAAATGTGTGTTAAGTTGTTCTTCTAAGTGTTACGCCATTAATCATTGCTGTTCTCTATTGGTATGTATCCAAATATTTTATCTTTTTTGAGTTTTATGTTTATATTGACTTTCTTTTCATATCCATCCCACGTATGAATATTTTAATGGGTAAAGTACACAATTGGTCCCTCAATTATAGGATGTTATTTTGTTGAGTCGTTCAATTATTAAAAGTTACAAAATAGTTCGTTGATTGAGTCCCCGACTATTAAAAGTTATAAAATAGTCACCCAACTATTAATATGCTCCAAACTCGTCCTTTGAAGTTAAAAATTGATGATCGTTTGAGTTAGATGTTAACCGGTTGACTGTAATATGATAAAATGTGATCCCAAAACTATTTGAGTTGTATTTTGTGGATCGATACTCCGTTTACATTATGTCGCCGAATTAGTGTTTGAAACATTATGTCGTCAAGTCCGTGCTGCAAGTGCTTGAAAGCAACAACAGTGCCATTAGACATCATTAAAATATAATTTTATCATATCTCAATCAACATATTAACGTCCAACTCAGACGGTCTTCAATTTTTTAACAAAAAAAATGACAAATTTAGAACAAATAAATAGTCAAGCTGCCATTTTGTAATTTTTAATAATTTGGGGACTCAACAAAGTATCACTCTATAGTCAGGGGCTACTTGTGTACTTTACCCTATTTTAAGATAAATGCACATTCAAATTCAGCGACTTGGAGATCAAGTATAATTAGTTTCGAATTCGAATGTTTTTAAGTATAATTTGTGACTTCACTAATATAAATGCATCATTTACAAGGTTGTACAGGCTATTCTTCTATGACAGCTAAAGATTTAAATAGTGATTCGCTATTATAATAATGCTCGTTATATAATGATAATGGTATCGTCTGATTCAATTATTTTATGATCAAAATATTTATAATTATTGTAATAGCACCCATTATATCTACGATCGTAATAAATATAATCGTTGATGGCAGCAACCACGCTTTAAATGTCCAAACCTCTGGTTTTAATGTTATTTTCGCCGTCGCCAGTCCATACTTTTTTCTTTTGCAGTTTCAGCATACATGTGCTTTTCATTTCTATAACTTTATAGTAAAATTGTCGGAGAAAGTGTCAAACTTTCTTGATTTTGGTACAGCTTCTCACTGAAATGAGTTTTATTTTGTAAACACTACTGGATTGTTAAGGCTTGCTTGGTTTCCTGGAAAATTGCAATCACTCAAAATGTAAATTTAGCCTTAGTTTGTTGTTCTTTCAAGAGTTGTAAATGAGACGAGATAGATAATAAAATAGGCAAGTCTAATTCAATTAAAGTTCAATGAATATTTGACTCAAGTGTGTTCGATTCGAATTTGGTTTAAACTCTTACGAGTTGAGATGAGTTACTCGATATCGACTCTAAAAAATTCACAAGTAATTTTAAAAATAATATTTTTAATTTTTTAATTAAATGATAGAATAATAATCTTAAATTTTTAAGTTATTTAATATTTTTTTAAAAAAAGTTTTTTTTAATAAGAATGTACATGATAATTGAGATTCTCAATATCAAAATTCTAAAATAATTCTCACTCTAAACTTTTTATTTTTATGAAATGATTTTAAAAGAAACAAAAAATAAACCGCTAAAATTTGAAGAAATGAAAGTGACAAATTTTTATATTTTTTCGTGTTCGAGTTAAATTTTAATTTTTGATTTTAAGTTCGAATCAAATTAAACTCAACTTTAAATTTTTAAGTTCAAATCAAATTCAATAATATTTGTACTCAATTTGTCTCGTTTACACACTCCAATTTCTTTCTTTCAAGGAGAGAGAGGAGGAGAAAACTTGTTTTTTATTTTCATTTTGAGAGATGAAAAATAAAAAGATAAAAAGGATTTAAACGTGAAGAATTATTATTATTATTTAAATGGAAGAGTTATGCCATTAATCATTGCTGTCGAGTATTGGTATGTATTCAAATATTTAAATTTTTTTAAAGTTTTATATTCACTTAAGAATATTGACTTTCATATCCATCTCACATATGAATATTTTAATATAAATACAAACAAATTCAGATGAAAAATAAAAAAGGTAAGAATCGTTTGAATGTGAATTATTATTTCTGTCTAAGTACAAAGTTTTAGAAAATTAATATGATCATATAAATCATATGAAATAAGAGAAATAAAAATTATATTCAAAAAGTGATTGATAGATTTATTTTGTTGAGACAATATAATAAAGGATAAAAAAGAAAATACAATTCATTTATCTAGAAACCTGGATTTGAATAGTTATGTATGCAAGGTGTACCGACTTTGCTTGTTTCCATAGGGTAATTTATTTATAGTTTACAAGCTACATTTCATTTTGCTAATAAATTTTAATTGGCTTGTCTATGTTGCAGATGAAGATGAAAATAGGATTGAGACCAACACGCTTCAAATATGTACATGTATTGAGAGCAAGTATCTTCCTGATCCTCTTAAGTCACCATGCTCAAACGTCTACATTTCAATCTGCAAATTTTTGTCTTCCCCTCTGCTTCTTTTACCATGTTTTTCTTTAATTGACAACTCAGACTTCTGTTAATGAGTTAACGGAAGTTAACGGCTACTAGACTAAAACCAAACATACCGATAACGTAAGGGATCAAAACCACTCTTTTTTTGAACCAATGACCAAAATCAATCAGGCCGAAAACATAAGAGATCATTCGTATAATTTACCCAAAAGAAAAAGGTAATAAATGCTTCAACAATGTTGTTGATTTGCTATCTTAATCAAATCCGGTTAAATTTAAAAATGGGAGAAGAAGAAAATATACAAATGGATCTTTATTTCTAGTCTGATTACCATTTGAGGAACCAAAAACCATACACAAGTTTGGAGCTTTTCTGTCATCAAAGAGGTTAAAATTTCAACAAGGTCAAAATGTGTTGAATATGGACATGTGCACATATATGAAAGATCTATACTTATTATACACATGTTCGGATATGTGTTAGGCACTGTACTTTATGGAACTTGGCTCTTAGAATGAGAATTCTTTTGGTATTTCTCGAAACTTACCTGACAAGAAGCTTTCATATTTCCTTTTAAGGTCTCCGCCTGAAAAATATTGCATTCAGGTAAATAAATCCAGATCTAACAATTGCAGATGATGTAAATAAAGAGGGTTGCATAGCTACCACCTTTAGGTTTAAATGGTTCAATATTTTCTGATCTAACCAACTTGAAAATATCATTGCCTGGAAATCAACATGAAAAAAAAATAGAAATAGATATCATAACTTAAAATCCTTCAAGCAGAAAAAATGGGAATGAATAGAATACCTAAACTAACAGAAGGTTCTGCCTGCTTTTCACCCAGTTAAGATTAAGGAAGATAGGGTAATGGATTTGATTTGGCAGATTTTCTCCTATTAATGTATTATAGATCTGTAGGACCCGAAAACTATTTTCCGTATTCCATATTAAAGAGGAATTGGGAATAGATAATCTTATACCAAAGAAGGGTCCTACTTTTAGTATTCTTTCGTATTTGATTTGATATCAAAAGAAAAAATATATCAAGAGTTTTCATAAGGCAAAATGGAATAGCAATGAGCTGAAGATATCAGGGTAAGTTGAGTACAGATTGAATAAGATATCATGCATTCATCAGTCATGCTGCGTTTGGTTACATAAGTATTAACACAAAGAAAGCTTAAGTATTACATAAGATTTTAAAATAGTTTTTCACAACATAAAGAAAGAGTTAGTAGTAGTACAAATATAAACCTGAAACTAGACAGATGTATAAGTAAAAAATAATACATATTCAAATAAGCAAAATATATTCCTTCCATTAGTTCAAACTAAATGTGAGTTGCTGAAAGTTACCAAGTGAAGTTAGTTTATTTCTAACTCATGTACAAAAACATGAGTAAAAGATAACACTCCCACCAAATGTAGCACCAATGTTCAGCTTAATGAGGCAGTGTCCTAAATTAGAAGTTCAAGCGTTAAGATGATTTAATGAGGAATTACTTTATCAGTCTATCAACAAGAATCTGGTGCATTTATGTTACCTAGACTTGAGTGTAAGTGCTAGACACAGATGTGTCTAATGTGGATATTTTCATTTTTTTACGTTTTCTTTTCATGCATTTGGAGTATCAGACATAGGTGCTTTAAGAAAAATGATGAATCGGAACAACATAACTGTGCATGTAGGTAGATGTTGAGAATATTTCATGATTTTTCCTTACCTGTAACATTCTTTTCTCCATGACCAACATTGACAAGGAAGGTCGGTATCAGGTGCTCTTTCAACTACATAAACATTTTAGAACATATGATGTTAGTGCAGCCCATCAGGCAGTTAATGAAGACAATGAATTAATTTAACGTATTATGATTTTTGAAAGAAAGCATTACATAAGCTAGTAAATTATCATATATTAACCTTAGAGAGAAGGGCCTTTGCAATATCTAATGCACCAATAGAGGTAGGACCTTTAGCGTAAGCAGGCACAAAGTCCCCATTTTGATAGCCAGCCAAAAAGTGGTAAGCAGCTTGACCCGGAGAGAGTTCTGATACAGAGGGGATGCTACCAGAACTGCAGGGCAAAAAAAAATCCACTCTTGTAACAGCAAGGTCAACAATGTATGCAGGAAAAACATGCTAAATATATCAATTTGAGTATGGTTTCTCGGATTCTTCAAGATTTTCAAATATATAGGAACCAAATTAAATTACATTTTCATTATTTATCCAATGGTACGGCAGGCAATGAAGCAGTGAACCACTGAGAAAGTTGAAAATACAACCTTTGGTCCATACAGATTTTCCATTGCACCATCAGGAGAAAGATTTACAATACAATAACCAATGTGGAGGAAAGCCGCTGAAGTCAATACATTCTAGGCACCTTTAGTTGCTAGTTTTGAGTGATGTCTAAAGAAACGTAAGGGATTCTTTGCATATTTATCAATTTCTCTATGGTTTTATTCGGTCTTTGGGATGCATTAGTTAATTTATATCTCAAAGGAAGCATAAGCAACTTGAGAATGTTTAAGGAAGATATCTGCAAGAACCAAAAGTGCTCACGAACATGGATTTTCCTTTAAATTAAAAATAACTAGTTTTTCCTTTTTCAAAAGAAAAAAAAATTGTTAACTTCTTACTTGGCTAAAGAACTAGCAGTCGTGGTTTCAAATGTTCCAAGACAAGTGGATATGCGAGAGAACTAGCCACTAAATTCAACAAACTCTTGAATAAATATTTAATGTTCAACTTTTGAAAGATAACTCTTGCTAACATACCATATTTCATGAAGATGCAAAGGAAAGAAGACACTGATACCAGAGGGGACATCAGGTTGCATTGCAATATTGCATATGATTGTCGAAACAAACATAATGTGTCGCTTTACCTATCAAATGTTGCAAGGATGATGGCAGATGGTATCTTGCATATGTTTATGCAACTGTATTTTTTGGTTCTAAACAAGGGTGCAACACCTTGAGAAGAAAGGACAACACGGTATTTGCAGATAACAATAGATCTGAACAACTCTGAATGAAATTCTCTGAAGCAAACAAAGAACCACAGAACCACCAGACACTAGGAGCCTGAAATTTCCAACCTACAGACCTGAGATACATATGCACACATATATTTTTACAACGTGACAGTAGATAAAAAGCTCTTACCTAGCAGATATTGGAAGGCCTCCACGTGCAGATATAACTGGCTCAGATAAAGCAGCTAATGCTAATTTAGTTCCATTTATATCAGCAAATGCTTTACCACACAAAATAAGCGAGGATCGCTCAACATCAGCAGCTATAAATCCATTATTTCCATAAGCTCCAAGCCCAATGACATCCCCAACAGCTGTACTGCATAAGTAAAAATCAGAAGCTGTAAAATCATGAATTATTAAATCTTAAACACTATTAGTTCTGACTGGGCCAAAACACACAAACACAATTAGTTCTGCTAGAGTTCCACTGAAACAGGGTGAGAGAGCTGAACACTACAAGGAGAAACCAAGTATCTGAGATATTTTCAGGAAATTAGAACTCTATTTCAGGTCCTACACTATACACATACATCTGTGAGTTGTAACTACAAAATGCATTGAAAACAACAAAAACATTAAATTCAAACCTTATTGATGTAGCTGCATAGACTGTTAAAGGACATGAATCATGGGAGACAGCACGAATAGGTGTCTCCCAAAGAACATTTGAAAGTGTCAATAAAGGAGATGGATTGTCACTAATCACACGAACTTTAGCATCAGATTCTGGTGATAAACCGATAGCCCCATCATGGACAAAAATGTTTGAGATTGACGACATGTGAGTTGTGACCTGATAAAAACAAGATTAGCATAACAAGCCTTGTTGTCCACCGTATTGTGTATTACTATAGGAATTCAAGAAGCAATGTGCTGACATATATACCTATGATCTTAGCACATCTTTATGCTCTACACTCGAGAAAATCAAACATCATGCCTATCTGTTTTGTCCATGAAAAGTACCCAATATTCTGTTCTTTTACACAAAAGGTCCACTTCCACTGCTAATGTAATATATATAAAGTATAAACACACTCACACACACAAACATATATATTATGGACTTGGCTTCTGCATCCCTCTTTTGTCAAATTTTCCACAAGCAACTTTCAGGCACTAACATTTCCCACTACAGTATGCAAAACGCAACATTTTGTAGAAAAATATTACCATTTACAAATAAAAAGTAACCAAGTTTATTCTCTAAGATTCTAACCATGCACATAGACGGGATGTGTAATAAAAAATTAAAAATGCATGTAAGCAAGCTGGAGAGTGAATAAAGAAAAGAAACTTTCATTCTTATACCAACGAATAAAGGCGAAATAAGAACAGAAATAGTAACAGCCCAAAAACAAGACATACCTGCTTCAAAAGTTTACTATATTGTGCCTTTGAAATTGTTGAAGTTCCCCCAAGAGTTCCTCTAACATGAAGTGGAAGCCCTGACAAGGATTCTAACAAAAGAAATGGGAACCAAGAAAATCAGAAACATGTAAACAATAAAAGGATAAAGTACCATTTCACTCAACATAGTATAAAGTTTTACCTGCAATAGTTGCACCTTTTTGTTGCAATTCAGAAGACTTCAAGTTTTGGAAAGCTTTATCCTTCACAATCACACCTTTTCCAGCCAGACCCCAATTAAGTCCATAAGAAATCCAGGGTTTTCTCTATATTAAAAGAAGCCAAGAGAAGAATTAAAGGTATGCTACTTCCATCATGTACAAACTAAACAGTGGGTCAAATACCATGGCATACCATCACACCACCTTTATTAAGATACGAGTACAGCAAACACAATAATAAAATAAATTTTATATATTTGGTAGACACATTAATGCAAATAAATGTGATAGACAGACACGTTTTTCCACTAAAAGTAGGCTCTAAAATTATAATTCAATTAATTTGCTCACAAGGGTGACCCAAAGGTCGTGCTCATTCCAACCCAGATTATCTTTCATCTTTTAAACTCATAATAGTAAGCTTGCATATGCAACAATATGTCCAGATACTCCTAAATGGATAGCTTATAACATCACCCAGGGAAAAACTAAATGAACAGTAAAAATCTCCAAAAATTTTTTATAAGAAGAGGAGGCCTCGTTAAAAACCCCCTTCATGATTAAAGAAGCGTAAAAATCTCCAACATGATTCTAGAGGCAAAGCAAGAGAAGCTTTTAAGCAATCAAGCAATTCACAAAACAGAAAAAAAAAAATTGAAACTGAACTTTTATTTTTTGCTGATGATTGCAGATGGTTCTTGAACACTGCCTCTGAAGAAGATAAGACTCACAACCACTGATTCATGGAGCCTGCACCAGGCAACTTCTTTCCTTTTTTCTTCTAGATTTCCTCTTTATGTATTCTTTTTCTTGATTTAATATCCTGAGTTCAAAAAATCAATTTAAGTTATAAGTTCATTTTCCTTTTTTTTTTTTGTAATCTGATTGTGGATTCCTGATTTGCTTTTTCCCAAATTGTATTGTGGATTAAAGATCTAGAAAGCAAAAAAATCCATCCATGTCCTTTCCATTTCGTAATATCAACTACATCTAACATTTTTTGGTTTGTCCTGACATATAGGATGCATATCTGGTCATGCTTAGAGGCTTATAACGACCGACATCGATATGCAGAGTATATGCTGTGGTCAGTTCTTAATATCCAGTGGGGGATGTAGCCTTTGTTCAGGGTGGGCACGTGCCCACCCTGAAATCCGAATTTCTTTACATTAGTAGTTCATTTTACTGAGGGTGCCCACCCTGAAATTTTATTCAACCTACCCCATACAAAAATTTATGTTATGAATATATGTGTGCCCACCCTAAAAAATATTCTTGGATCCGCTACTGCAATCATATCTAATCAAGAAATATACACGTTCACAAGGCTTGATAAGCAGAAGTAATAGGAAACATTCAAAAGCCAGATACACTGACATACCAGAAGAAATGTCAATAAATTGATGTATACTTAATATTAGCAACACCCTATGATATGGAAGGATAAAGAGGAGGAGGAAGGGAACCAAAATTGACTCCATGAAATTTGAATACATGTTGGTCGGTCAAAATCATTTCATAGCTATTACATCCTTAAACAGCTTAGGCATTACTGCATTAGGTCTATCGCTTTTCAAGTAAAATTTTACCTCAGAGATGAAACTGTTTCACCTTCCTCCTCAATCACACGAGCTGAAACCTTGTTCTGCAAAAACCAAAACCAAAAAAGTACTAATAGTTCAAGAATAGTTCAGATTAAGCATCACAAAACACGGAAAGTGCATATGCACATAAGTCATTGAAGATATAAGTCAAACAGACGTGTAACAAAATTGAAGTTGGAAGCATGGAAGCATAGTGGATTGCAGAACGTGACTTGCCAGGGTTTAGCAGATTGACGATGTGAAGATTATGAAATGTATGCAATGACATATCTGACTTTTATACTGTTACAAAGAAAAAACAAACAAATTGTACCAAAATCACATTAATAAGACCTATGTTACTTGAACTCTTCATCTTCCATGAAGTATTCACGTCCAAAACATATTTGGATATAAGAAAGTCGAGTTGAATTTTAAAGGATGGTTCGAATCCCCTTTCAACATTTGCAAAGTTAAGTAAATCCATACAAATACTAAATAGTATATAAAAAAAGATTAAAGATAACTAGAAACCCTAATTCAAACAATTCAAGTGAGAATCCATTTTCGGCTGTAGGCCCATCCAAAATGCTACATACTTAACTCCAGCTAAAGAATATAAACAGATAAAAAAAAAGTAAGCCACTAATGAAATGCCCCAATACCTGAACGGTCAAAAAAATGTTATCTCAAAAGAAGTCGAGCCACCTTCAAAAACAAGAAAAGAAAATCGAAAATCAAAGAGACTTACGCTTCGAGAAGAGTGTAGGAAACGATACGAAGAGGAAGAGGAAGTTTGGATGAGCCGTTTGAGAAAACGGTTCCTCATTTTCACTTCCTTGTCACTTTAAACACTGACGAAATTGTTAATAGGGTAAACTATCAAAAATAGGCACGCACGTTTTATATTTGTACATTTTATTCATCAAATTAAAAAATATTAAGTTTGATAATTTATATTATTTTTTATTAAGTTTTGACCACTGTAACGTGGAAGGTTGTTCGTTTGATAACGTAATATTAGTAAAAAGATTTAATTTTTATTTTAACTCTTGAAGTTTAGATAAATTTTTAATAACGGCCTTTTTAACCCAAATAGTTTAGGGACAAATCTTCAATTTACCTTCTTTTTAATATGCTATTCTTTCTTTTCGAAATCCTAGTTTTTTACCCACTCTTGCGCTGCACACCCCGTCCCCAGGCTTCTCTCCGTTCATTTTCTCCGTCGTCGGTCACCTATTAAAATCACTGCCACCGACTGATCCGCACCTAGAATATGCATGTATACTTCTTCTGGAATCTTTAGTGTAGTGCCTTTCGTTGACCTTCCTTTTGTTATATGATCTCTCTTTCTTCTAACAATAAGACTGGGTGAATGACGAGAAGAGTGGTGAGTTATTTTTTTTTTGCTTAATACAAAAAGAAAAATTCAAATTATACTTTTTTTTTTATTTAGGTAAGTAAATTTTTTTAATGTCGATTTAGATGTCTAACGTTATAAATATGATCATTTTAAGTGTTTCGGTCATAACGACTATTAAAATAATATATTAAGTAACTCATGTCACGTTCAAATAATTTTAAAATATATTTTTAAAAAAAACTTAAGAACATTGTTATTATTTTGATAAATCTATGATAAATACAAGATAGTATATATTTAAATATTTTCAACCATTTGACAATAAACGCTCATACTCTTGCATAAATGATGTTCGAATCCGATACTTAAAAAAAATAACAAATCATTTAATTACTAAGGTTGCTTAGTTTGTGTTTTAAAAATATTATTTTATTTAAAAAAAACCCTAATTTCTTAAAAAAAATTCAAATCCTAACCTTAAAATAGTCACTTCTATAAAAACAAAAAATATTTTCTAAAACCAACCTAACCATAATTATTTATGATTGTTGTTATTTTATCACTTTCGTAAACTCATTTGATACACAAAAAATTATTGTTTCTTTAACAATGACAACCGAATTTATTAACAAAAACAAAGAAAAAAAATCAGAATTACAATGCACCCAAATATTGAGAGAGAAAATGAGGACAATAGTCGTAAAAAATTTCATACAAAAATAAAACTATTAAACTCAAAGATACGAAGAAAAACGTAATCTTCCATTGAGAATGACGACAAACATTAAAAGAACTCAGTAACCTTCACAAAAACTCTAACTCTGTCGAACATCAAAACAACAACAAATGTATGCAAAAAGAGTACTAAAAGTCATAAGGATCGTGCATAAAAACAAAGAAAAATATATCCAAAAATAGATATTCTTATTCAAAATTAAGAAAAAATAAAGAAATAAAATAAAATAAATGACATAATATGAAAAGATGATTAATAATCATCGGATGTCAACAATTAGCATTAGATTATCATCATCGTCAATTAAACAAAAATCAAAAGAAAATAAAATGACAACACAAAAATATTGAAAAAAAAACCTAGATTAGAAAAAGGAAAAAAAAACCGAAACCAAAAAATATTGATTCCTCTCATTTATCTCCACTCATATTTTACAAGTCTTTTTCTTTTGAAAAGTATTGATTCCTCAATCGAGTGAACGAATATGGATTCTCTATATTAATCTTGGGCTGATGTCTATTTTATAATTACATCAATCAGATTTTTTATATTTTTAAGAAAATAAATTTTATCACGATACAATAAAATTATTTATGTGAGATATTTTTGTTATTGCTATTTTTTTAAAAAAATTTTACAACAGTGTCATTTCAAACATAAATGTATTTGTTTCTTTTTCAACTTTAACCTATTCCAGTTTCAATTCATTAACAATATAAGGACTAATTTGAACTACTCCATACAGTAGAAGGACCTAACCAGATACTTTTTGGCCCTGTCTCTTGCATTTCAAAATCAATCCAATCGATAAGTAAGATTGAATTTGATGCAAAGTAAAATGAACAGATAGCAAATAGAAAAAACAATCATACACAAGTAAATAAACATACATTCACTATTTTCTCCTTTTCCCTTATTTCTTTAGGAAACATTAACAGATGAAGAAAGAGGGAATAGTATAGATCGGTAGTTGACTTTTTCTTCTTCTCTTTGAATGGTGTCAACTCTTCTTTTTTATTAAATGTCTTGAAAGATGGCTGACAACCACACAACTACAACACTTATCAAACATACTCTAATCCGGAACACTCGGTATTAGTCATTCTCTTACTTTGAGTTTCGTTGCCTTTAGGCCATTTCGGTTTCGCCATCATCAGCTTAGAAGCCACAGTCTTCAGACCGGTCTTTGTGCAACGAACAATAAGTGTGATGAGCTCTCTGCAGAATACAGGTTTGAAGCAGTTATTTCACACACAAAAACAATAAGTAATAGAAAACATTACACGGTCGGCTAGTAACGAAACATAACGGATAAAAGATATCCGATTCTTGAACATTTTCTACTTTCAAGGGACATGAAAGATACAAGGTTAGGTATCAAACCTAAGGAAGAACATCAATGTTAAAGCTAAAGTCTAAAGAGCTTAATCACCTGCTGGAAAATTCTCATAAATTATTCTTTCTTATAACAATTGTCCCAAACTTTGTAATCAGACCATTTGGTTATAGCACAGACAATAGGCAAAAATTGAGCATGACCGCGTGAATGAAAAATAAATATCTTAAACTAAAATCTCCAAATTAAGGTTCCGGCATCACCGGATTCTTAAAATGAACCGCACACTGTCTCAATCAAGATGATTATTTAATCTTTGAACATACTATTTCCTCAATAAATCCAATAAAAATGCCATAACCGTATTACTCTCAGGCCACAGTAAGTTCAATGAAAAACAAATTTCCAAATCAACAGAAGGAGTTCATCTGGACTCTTACATTCTTATTTCTTCACACACCATTTCTGAAGGCTCGCTGTACTGAATTTAAAGAAAATAACATTTATGGTCTTTTAAAATTATATTTTCCCGATCGATAAAACACTATAATAGGGTATAAGCCTATTTACCTTTTCTCAACCTGGAAAAAGCCTAAAACTTACAAGGTTAGTTCAAGGAGCATAACCAATCTTCGGGTTCGGCCAATAGAATGCAAAGAAGAGGGAAAATATCTGTTTGGTTTGAAATTTGATCTATGATAACACAATCTGTCCAGGAAATACTATATACTATACTGACTACATCATGTTTGTTACTCGTAAAGGATACAATGACAATTGAAACTTCAATAACAGTATTGCTGTGTAAATCATCCACCATACCACATAAAACATCTGTTAGTCAAACGGAATCTGCACATGACCTAAGTGATGTAGAAAGTTGAGCATGGCCCTAAAAATTATCTGCTTAACTGGTAATAATCTCATTTCTTTTCCGATTTATGTCCTGCTCTTTCTTTTTTGGCCATCGATTTATGTCCTCTTTAAATTGCTATATACTCCCCATAACCACATTACTTAGAATCGGGTGTGAGTATCAAGTATGGGTATGTGTCCGATATGGAACGGAGAGTTGAAGCAACACATCCCCATAATAGTAGTTATATGAACAATAAAAGTAAGGGTAAAAGTTAGTTCTCCCCCAATTCTCCCAGTTATCTCTTTAGTAAACTCAGAAGTGGTTATAAAATACTAGGTGTCTATTTTTATATAGTAACATGTATGTTCAAAAGGTATCTTTTAGACTTACAATGGTGAGCAAGGAGAACGGCCGCCATTTATGTAATAGATGAACAAATATGAATCATAATGATGACCATGGATCAAGTAAAATCCATGCAACCTCCGCACACACTTGAATGACATCTTCGTGTATAAATGAATGGCTGGATTATTATAAGAAATCACATGCAAGTAAACTGCACGGCATACTGGGATGCTTGAAGCGTATTTAATAACCTCACGGATCAGTGCTGTAGCTGTTGATCCAATAGCAAGCAAAAGATACATTAAAAATGTGAAAGGAGAAAGAGGAAGCGTTAGCAGAAGAAAAAAATGATCCTACCTATACCGAGATTTCTGTATGCATCTACAACTCCGAGTGTCAGAATATATACTAAATTTTGATCCCACCTTGATGAGTCATAACTGAGCAAATCTGCTACCTGCATGATATGTGATAGTCGAAATGAATTATTGGAACCACTCAAATACTTCAGTATTGTAAAAAATAAGAAAGTCAGGAAAATATTCGAGACCCAGAAACAGAAGCTACGTGTTGAATGTCAGTATTATTTGTCCTCAACAATCATCAACAAGGAAATATATTCATTTTAAAAACCATGAAAAACAACTTTTACAGCCATATGGTTTTACTTATTCAAACATTTTAGACCCTGCTTAAATCATAATTCAACTATCAAGCAAATATAATTAATGCATTACATACGCATAGGCACATAGATGACACACCTCACTATCCTTTACCATTATAATTCTTGCAGTAACAAATCCAATAAGCTCATCACTTTGACCATCGGGTCGACTGCGATCAACAGCTGCCCATGACACAACATCACATCCATTCACGACACTTTGGAAAAACTCTGACTCATACCTGAAGATATCAATACCCTTCCTTGAAGGTGCTAGAACGAGAAATACTCTTTACTGAAGAACCTCAAAAGAAAAGTAATACACTTCTTACCTGATAGGAAATAAGTCACTGTGGATTTGTTCCAAAGTTTCTAAATCAGATGGCTTTATCGGCCTATAGCAGATGGTAGGACGATGTTTGATTCTCGGGTTCATCATCAAGGACTGTATCATTAATCCCCAGAAAAAAAGTGATAGAATTGGAGAAAAGGAAATTCTCCTTCCATTTATGCAGCATCAGCCACAATCTCCATGCAGCAGCCAACAAAACTGACAGAAAATACTGCACATTAGCTAGATCTAATATCATATACACCCAATACCAGCTGAAAACACACGAAACCGCAACTCAGATGCAACGGGAATAAAGGGTCCCTTCATTTTATAGCTATTACACCCTTCTTTAGAACATCAGGGAACTTCAAAGAACACTGTAACATTTAAAATCTATGATTGGTCTGTCCAGTTGTTACTTTGGTATTTGTTTCTTACTTCACCAAACCATCATTTAAAGAATTAAAAAAAAAGGATGTTTCTTTTAAAATAACATCAATGGTTTCACTTCTAATCATCTGCACTTTCCTTGTATAAACAATTTAATAAACAAAGAACATATAGCAAAAACAACTACACCTAAAAAAAATTCCGAGCTCGAGTTCGAAGAGAGTCAAATGCTGTTGCAGATTCATTGGCAAAGGCCTGCACGGATGAGGACGCTGATATTTGTTTAAGTAATAAAACTTTGTCATTTTCTTAAAAAATAAAGTGTTTCAAAAACAGCCTCAGATTCACTTTCTTTCACCTATTTCTATTAAAAACATAACAAAGCATAGAGAGCTTAACATTTATATATCAATAAATATTCCACCAGCAATTTGAATAATTGAATATCAATAAAGAAAGCTTAACATTCAAAAGAAACAAAACCCAGAATTCCAAATACACTAAAAACCAAGTAACCAATGATAGACACTCAGAAAACCCAAGTTGGAAATGAACCCAAATCAGTAAATTACATGAAGAAAAAAATTAAAAACAAAAGGACGATCAAAAGAACAAAGACCAAAAATTTGTGGAAAAAAGGGGGAAATCAGTTACCCGGAGAAACTCAGAGTTGAACAAGAAGGGGATCCTGGGAATTCAACGGGTTAAAGGAAGAGGTTCTATTTGATGATCACCGAAGGAGACAAAGGGAAAACGGCAGAGGAACATAGGACGACTGGAGACCGGAGACGCGGCTTTTGTCTTCTTGATGAATTTTGTTTTTTATTTTGCTTGTCTAGAATTCTTGAATCTTGATGATTGTTAGAACTGCTGCGCGAATTAAAAGATTTAAAGATAGTCAACATGTGGAATAATCAAAGTAAATGAATCGATACTTTAATTAGATTCTTAAGCTAAACAAAACTCAATGTGGAATATAAGTCTTTTTTTTTTTTGGCATAAAATATAAAAATAATTTGTTATGTTGGTAAATTACGCGATTAATATTTAAATTATCAATTTTAATTCGTTTTAGTACCTAATTTTTTTAATTTTTCAATATCATACATAACGTTTAATTTTTGTTTTATTTTAGTATTATCGTTAAAAAATTAACGTTAAGTTTTGAAAAAAATTGAAAGTTATGTATTAAAACGAGCTAAAATTAATAGTTTAGGTATTAAACGTGTTAAGTTTTTAACATATGGGTATTAAAATGAAACAAAAATTAAACGTTAAGAATGGTTCTAAAAAATTAAAAGTTTAGATACTAAAATGGACCAAAATTAATAGTTTAAGTAATAAAACGGACTAAAATATTCAAGGGAGTCAATAAAGTAGCGCTTTATAGTTACATGATCATTTTGTAACTTTCAATAGTCGGGGACTCAATAAAGTAATATCATATAATTAGTGGATCATTTGTGTACTATATCCTATTTAATTTTAGACTTAATATAGAAAATTACTCAAAATATATTTTTTCTATTTAGGTGTTTAAACTATTTTTTAGTTAATCCAAATGCCTAACATTACTATTTTAAGTGCATTGGCTATAACAACCATTAAATAGGTTCGTTAAGTCGCACATATCATATTCTAGTAATTTTAAAAAATTTATTTAAAAATTAAAAATATTATTATATACATTTTAAAAAAAAATCTAATTTTTTTAAAATTACAAAAAATCCTAAAATTTCTCCAAAATCTTAAAAAAGTCCCAAAATCTTTAATTTTAAGCATAAATCCTGCATGAATCAAATGACATCGGTGATAAAAGAATTTCTATTATTCCTTGAGGCTAGCATCAAAAATATCAGTGGTGTATCAAATGATTAAGAGTTATTTTTTAATATATATTGTATTGTACTAACGTCAAATTAATAAAAAAAACACCAACCCCATTTGTTGTCCATCTACATTCATTGTCGTCTTCACCAACAGCCTACCCACTCGACCTCGAGCCCCTGTTGTCGACCATTCCAAAAATTCTTTAAATCCTTTTGGCCAATCGAACAAATGATTTAATATTTTAATAGTATTTTTAATTTATTAAAATAAAATTTTAAAAGAAATATAAACGCGACATATATTACTTAACAATTTTTTAACTGGCATTAAAGTTAAAAAATTTAAAATAACAACATTTATATCGGTATACATTTAAATAAAAAAAAACCCTATAATTTAGACAATTTTTTTTATATTACGCCTTAATTTTATTTGTTCCATTCCACGTGCAAGTAATCAAAGCTAAAGCACACTAAAATCCTAAAACCCTTCCTCTGCTTTTACTGCAATTTTCTTATTCGGTCCTTCATCAATTCTAGCTTTTGGTTGACTACCATGCCAGTGCCCTCACTCTCTGATCTTCAAATTTAATATTTTCCAAATACCCTTTTTGCTTTTGTTATTATTGAATCTGAAAATGGATTCACTTCCTAATCCAATATCAGCGGCGGCCGCTGCCAACGGCAACACAGTGCCGCCGTTTCTCAGAAAAACTGTCAATATGGTGGATGACCCATCGACCGACTCCGTCGTGTCGTGGAGTAGCAGTAACAACAGCTTCGTTGTCTGGAAAGTGCCGGAGTTTGCGAGGGACCTTTTGCCTAAGTATTTTAAGCACAATAATTTCTCCAGCTTTGTGAGGCAGCTCAATACTTATGTGGGTATTTCTTTTCTTTTTCTTTTATGTTCATTTGTTTCCTATTTAATCTTATTTGTTTTTGGATTAATATCGCGATTTTTATTAATTTGGAGAGTAGTTGGGCCTTAGCTTTAGGTTTACATAGACGTGCTTAAGACCACTAAGATGTATTTCCTTGTGGCTGATTGCAAATTCATTGTTTGGTTTTTTTTTATTTTAGGGTCTGATTTGTTTTTTTTTTTTTTTAATTTTAGAAGCCATAGAGATGTTGGATCATGAACTTATAGTATAACTGTTGGTTTGTTGTGTGAGTGTGTGAGATGAAATTAATGGAACATGGATTTTATTGAACGGTGATATCGGTTTGCTGAAATATAGAAAGGAATTGATCCATTAATATGCTAGTTGTACCGTTCTTGAATCTGTATAAGGCTTTACGAAATACAATATTAGAGTAGTTCTTTAGCTTTCTTCTTCGGATCATCAATGGGATGATTGGTTGAAAAGATGTATTTCCCCTGGAATACAAATGTGGACGTTTGAAGTGAAATATAAAAACTAAAAACTGAATGTTTGTGCTTGTGATTTGGGGTTTGGCTCAAATGTTTTCAGCTGCAAGGGATCAAGGAGCTAAGGAAATCTTTTTATCTTGCTAAATTTGAGAATTTTGGATTGTGGTTTTGTTGAAAGAATTGACTTCTGACGCTGATATGGAGATTTTGTTGTTGATTGATTTAATGAGTGGATATAGCATGCTTTGATTTAGTGAAAGACATTTCATTAAGAGATTCAGTATGCAATTTATAGGTAATTATTTCCACGTAGGGGTAGGGCTATAAATGAGATAAGATAAATTGCGAGTTACTCGTGTTTGACTCGATTAAAGTTCGAGCAACACTTGAATCAAATGGACTCTACTCGAGTTCGAACTCGACTCGAATTCTTATCAAAAAAATAATCTATTAAACTTTTAGTAATATTAAAATTTATATGTTGTTTTTTTTATAAAAATAAAATATAAGGCTTTCATGTACTTAAGGTTCAAAATCAAACTTGAGCTCGAACTTCAATCGAGCCAAGTCTGAAAATGTTTCGAGTTTAAGTTTTTTCAAGTTCGAGTCGAGCTTGAAAATTTTAAGCTTTTGAGTCGAGTTGAGCTTCAATTTTTGATTTCGAGTTCGATTCGAGCTTGACAATTTTAAACACGTGAGCTTTCTAGTTGAGTCGAACTCAATTTTAAATTTTTGGAATCGAATCGAGCTCAAGTATTACATCACTACTTCCCCGTGCAATTGCAGACGCGGGTATCTATCTTGTTTCTTTTATGAGAAACATTTATCTTGGTTTTTTCGCTTAAATTCTTATTACCATCATGTCTGTTTATGAAATTTTAGTGGCATGGGGCGAATATAGAAATTAGGCTCCTAATAACAAGTATAAAAAATCACAAGAACAAGCAAAACTAAATAAATTTGCTTGTAAATTATTTTTCATTACGTTTAATAAATTATCTAATAAATACATCAAATTTTAAATAGAAAACAAGAAATTTTTTTAACCACCTAGTTACTCACACAAAACAAATATGATCCTCTTTTAAGAGGGTACATGTTAGATTTTAACCTTCTCTATCTTGTCAAAAAAATAATAAAAAAAATAATTAAGTGGAAAGTGAAAATATAATTTAAAAAGTCACATCAGCATTGCCATTAAATTTTTTTAACAATTTTATTGATAACAAAAAAAACTTGCATTGTTAAGAGCCCGTTAAAAAATCTCCCTATATCTAAGTAGAGGAAAATGAGTGCACCCTAGACAATGAACATAACAACCTTAACCTCCTTACAAAGAACTAAAAATCACCTCCACTTTGAACCAGAAGAAAGACATGGAACAATAATAGATCAACAGTGGCCATCCAGCCTTATAAAACCCAGTCAATCAAATCTTATCACTAGAGCTGCTGAATAGAGACCCAAAACCTGTAGATAGAAACTGCAGACCCATATCCTCGGCACCCCAACCGCCCAAAACAAACAGGCTACTCAACCAACCGCCTGTTTAGCTAGAAAATCGGACAGTGAATTACACCTTCTGGGGACAATATTAAGAGTGACCTTATCTTGCAGAATAGTAGACGCAATGGGAGAAGCAAAGAGATCAATTCGAACTTGTCGCTGCTAATTTTTTAATGGCGGGTAACAAAAAAAATGTAACGTAAAGTATGATTTTGAAAAAAATAATAATTGGATTACTAAAACATAAATAAAATAATTGTTGATTAAAGAGTAATCAGCATAGTGGAGAACAGAAAAGTCTTAAACGTATATTGATAGGTGAAAGTACATCTTGCTTTTATAGGAAAAAGTTAGGAGTAAGTTTTTTATTAGAAATAAACTACCTAGTAGTTATCCTTATCTATTTAACTTTCTAAGAGTTAGTATTATATTAAATTACTAAGTAATAAGACTTATCGCATAACATACAATCCCCCTCAAGGTGGGGAGTAAATGTTGAAAAGACCCAACTTGGATGTAATCTTATCAAAGGTAATTCTTGGAAGTGCCTTGGTGAGAATATCTGCTAACTGATTATTCGTTGAAACATAATTGAACTTCACCGATCCACCATTCACCTTTTTAGAGATGAAATGTCTGTTGATCTCCACATGCTTCGTTCGGTCATGCTGAACTATAGTCTTTGCAATACATATTGTAGATTTACTGTCACTTTGAAGTTCAAAACATTAACCCCAGATCAGTTAACAGTCTTTGAAGCCAAATTCCTTCGCAAATTCCAAGTAACCAGATTTCCCCAAACAAATGAACAAAAAGCAGTTGTAGATCTCCTATCCATTAATTCACCTGCCCAGCTTGAATCCGAAAAAATTCTTACCGTTCTATCATCACTCTTTTTGAAAATTAACCCATGTTCTGGTGTCATTTTCAAGTATCTTAGAATTTTGTTCACAACCTCTAAATGTTTTTCTCTCAGATCATTCATTTATTAACTCACTATACTGACAGGGAACGCAATATCAGGTCTAGTAAGTGATAAATAAATTAGTTTACCTACTAGCCTTTGATACTGTTCTTTGGTCACGGGACTTCCCAGTTCTTCTCTCCTTAGCTTAAGATTTGCTTCCATGGGTGTTATGTCGGCTTACATCCCTTCATTCCAGTTTCTGATAGATCAATGATATA